CAGCCGAGTTTATTAATGATTAAACGAACTTACCTTAGTGACGTTCTATCATAATTATACGAGGGCTTCATCCGAAGAAATTAGAAGAATAATTGTAGTTTCGTGCAACTACTCGCTAATCATACACAATAGTTTAAAGTAATAAAAAAATAACACAGGTAAAATAAAATCCTAAACTGGTATCCCCAAGCAATCGTCATAACGGTCGCTCGTTCAAACTTCATTTAGTTGAAAGTGGTAGGATACACAAGACAACATCTACAGATGTTGTCGTAGTTACTATAACACCATGGACAAAATAATATTTCGTATTATTGGGTAAGTATGTGGTGGGAGGGTTCTAATTTCTTCGGATGAAGCCCTCGTATAATTATGATAGAACGTCACTAAGGTAAGTTCGTTTAATCATTAATTATACATCGAGCTTCATTCCTCGAAATTAGAAGAATAATTGTAGACCTTGAGAGTCTGAGAAATATTATTTTTGAATGAATTAATAATCATATATTAATCAATGAAATTATTTATTGTGTCTTCACAAAAATACAAAATAAATAATAATACATAATTCGAACAAGATAATATTTTCTATCGTAATTCATAATTATGATAGGTTATTTAAAAATAATCACAACCTTTGACTTAATCATTAATATCTTCTAAGACAGATATGGCAAAATCATGCTCCTGACGATTATCTAATTGTCTGTTATAAAATTTTCCAAACACTTTAGACGTCCCGCTCCAGCCAGCAGTGCTCCTAATTGTGTCAATGCTGACGCCTAGCCTGCTGGCCGCGGACGTGCTGGCGTGCCGCGTGGAGTGGGCCGAAAACATTGAAGTGTCAATTCCGCTTTCATTTAAAGTATTTTTAATCCATTTACTTAAGGTTTGGCTACATACTGGTTTGTATGGTTTCCGGTAGCTAATAAATAGACGATCAATATTTCCTCTCAATAATTTAGTAATCTCTATGTAATCTAATAGTGTCTTGGCTGGACAGATTTCGGGTTTCGCATCATAAAATGGAATGGTAAGGCATGGCTGATAAGCGCCTGGTCTCGAAGTTTTTATAGTATCGGGTATTTTAATGGAAATCATACCTGTACAGCGCACAATATTTTGAACTTTAATGAGTGAAAATGTTTGCACCCTATGTGCTGTAATAAGAGCTATGAGTGTGAGTGTTTTCTTAGCTAACTGTTCTAAAGGTAGGTTTTGGTTGGGATACAGATTTGTTAAATAATCAAGAACAATAGAAGTATCCCAGGTGATATTGTATTTGGGTAAAGATGGTCTAAGTTTATAAAAACCCTTGAAGAGTCTGTTGATCCGATCATCGGTACTCACTCGTGAACCTATTATTAGTGATAGAGCAGAACGGTAACTGTTCAGAGTTCCATATTGTGCGCCTGAATTGAAAACACTTGTGAAAAAGTAAATGATATTTGGAATTGACGCTTCGTAACAATTTAAATTATTTGAATTACAAAAAAGCATCCAACGTTTAAATGCGACAGTGTATTGTGATATAGAACTATCGGACAGGGACGCACAAATAATATCTAAAGAACTTGATGGTACACTTCTTCTGGAGAACGCCTCCCGGATAATACCACTTAGTGTTTAGTCTTGTTGCAAAAAGATCAACCTCAGGCTTTCCAAATTTATAAACAATGAGATTATAAGCAGAGTCACTCAATTCCCATTCCGTGTCAGGATGTAACCGACGTGATTCCGCGTCTGCTATATCGTTATCTTTTGACCGTATATACGAAGCATATATAAAAATGTTTCTTGTTTCACAAAAGTTCCATATATCTCTTGTTAATTTATTCAGGTGTGGGAATCTTACTCCTCCCATACGATTGATATACGATATAGCAGTCGTGTTATCAATGCGTAACAATATCTGAGTGTTGTTTAAATTCGCCGCAAATATTTTCAGACCAAAATACGCAGCTAGTAATTCAAGGAAGTTAATGTGTTTGTCTGATTCTTCCGCACTCCATTGTCCGTTCGCGGTCTTTCCATTGCATACTACCCCCCACCCAGTTTTACTTGCATCAGAGAAAATCTCTAAGGTGTAAATATCTTCTCTAATTGGATTAATTGCATTTTTAATTGAACCAATCCACCATTTAAAATCATCTTGTAAATATGTAGGTATATTCATATAAGCATCGTAATCATCATCGGACTGCAGGAGAGCAAGATATTTACATCTTTCCATCTGCTTTGTGTAAAGCCAACCATATTGTACACCTGGGCAAGCGGCAGTAAGAAGACCAACAACACGAGCAAAGTGTCGAATTGAGCAACGTTGAAGACGACTCAATTTTGTTAATTCTGTTAATTTTTATCAGAAAGTAGCTGGATAAAAATTGATCACTACTTGGTTTGCATTCAGAAATAGCTCCCGAATCCAAAAGCTCTTTTATGGCTTCAAAATGATTATTGATTTCATCTTTTGACAATTTTGGAGGTAGAGGAACTCGTTTCTGTATAACTGGCTTATAAAAAGGAATGCTGTAACCCTTGACCCACGATAATATCGTTGGGTCGTTAGTTATTTGACACCAATGATCATAGAATAAAGCAAGTCTCCCAGAGGAGCGTACCGGATCTAACGACGTTGATACGGGCGTTGTTTGGGCCGCTGCTGCGACTGCGGTGGTGGCGGAGGCGGTGGGGGCGGTGGAGGAGGCGGCGGCAGCGGTGGCGGCTGCGCTGGATACTGGCGCCACTGCGATGTAGCCGGGAATGGTAATGGGGCAGGGGTCTGCGCGTATGCAGCAGGCTCCTGTCTCCTCTTGGCTGGTTGCCTGCCACTCGCCAGCTGAGGTCTCGGGTTTAAAGAACGAGACTGACTGCGTGATGATCCAGCTTTAGGCTTTGTTGCCTTAATTTCAGTTCCGGATCTATTAATGGCTTTAGCTGCCTTAAGAGTATCAGCCAAGTTTTCACCGAACAAGTATTTGTCGATTCCTGTCTCATAAATCTGGCTTTTGATCTCTTTTTTAATAGATGCACATATAAAGCTTCTCCTTTTCATCGACTCGTAGTGTTGTAAATCGCAGAGAAGTTGAGCGCCTTCAAGAAGAGGTCTTATCACTGAGGTATCCTTATGATCAGACTGAAAAATCTTGGTGAGAGCCTCTCCGATGCAAGCAATGACGGACGCTACCTGCGATTGCTTGCTTTGGGAAACCTTGTCTTTGCCAATCATGGTGTCTGATAACGCGGCTTTGATTTCAGGATTCAAAATCGGGGTGCCAATCTTTGAAGAATTTCCAGGAACTAAATGTTTATCTAAAAGTTCCTTCCGGGCGTCTTTTGAGAGGCCTGAAGTAGCAATATGCTCCCATCGTAACGCAATGTCCTTCTGGATGTTATCTCCAGTCTTTTTTGATTCTAACGGAGATGCGCCTAACATCTCGAGAATATCATTATCTAGCGTACATTCCTCGGTACTTGGATCAGCCGGCGGGGAAAGCGCTGGGGCGGGTTCTAAGTCCACGCCAAGTGTGGGTAAACCGAGATGTTCGGTCGAAACCACGGCCTCCGATAACTGCGGTCCTGGGCCATCTAAAAGTGCATAAAATAGGGTAAACCAGAGAGTGATTGCCCACTGGTAGTGATTGCCCGCTTTAAGAACAATATTGTCAGGTGCTGACTTTGAATCACTCTAGTTAGATTTGAATTTACTAAGTAGATGGCTCCGTGATCAATGTACAGTAGATTTAAAATTTACAGTAGGAAACACTAAAAAAAAAACAGTTATGGCGGATTTTGTCAAGACGGGTGAAAATGTTACTCAAACAGGTAAAGA